CAGCTTGCACTCCTTGGGCTGTGTGTGTGTCTGGTTGTGTTGCTGCAGGTCTGCCTGTCAGTACAGCTTGGACCCCTTGCTACTCTTCTTAGCTCTCTCCCCCTTTGACTCAGAGACCCAGAAAATCCCAGCTCACAGGGAGGACGGGACCTGGCCTCCTAATTCCCACATTGGCCTGTCCAACCTGTCCATCAGGTGACCTGAAGTGTTGGCCTCTTCCCATTGTCCCTGGGGTCTGTCAGTCTCAGGGCCCTGATTTCTCATGGACCTTTCCCCTTTTGGTACTGGGAGCTAGCCAACCAAAAACTCCCACTGAGTTTTAGCAAGGGGTTAAAAGTCCCCCTACATTTGGGTTGTGCGTGAATGTGGTGAAATGGAGTTTTTATATTTACCAAATATTTTATATTTATAAAAATGTAACCTTCCAAGACGAAATATATTCCGAATATAAGATTATTACCAGACTTCAAACCACGTGTTAATCCGCATATATCTACCTTTTAGTAGTGGGTATCCACGTCCAAGGATATGGATGTGGATATCCATGGCTCATTTTTGCAGATACAGATGCAAATACAAGTTACAGAGAATCCACCATTTACTTTAGTTCAAACCTGCAAGGGATCCAGGACCTGTGCTGCAGATGAAGGCAAAAAACTCTTAGGCTCTTTTCAAATCTCACTTGGGGGAAAATTCTTTTCTGGGCGCATATACTGATGATCATTTAAACCTTGTGGTGGTAGGCAGAACCCACCAGACAGATTCAGGAAGGCATTTCCTATGGTTTCAGTGCAAGTCATTCAGTCTTTTCTAAGGCAGGGGGGAGAAAATTTGTGCTAAATCCAGTTTACTATCCCATAGTCTAGTGGCTAAAGCACACACCTGAGATGCAGCAACTTCCTAATCAGATACCACCGCCTGTAGAGGGAGACTTGAACCAGCAATCTCCCATATCCCAGGCAAGTTTGCTAGCTACTGGGCTAAAGAGTGTTGCTACTTTACTTCAACTGTTTAGATGCCTGGCTCCAAAAATGGGTCTGATGGGGTTCCCAGAGCGCAACCTGAGCTGTGAGACTGCTGAGCCCTCTTCACCCACTAACCTGGGATGCCTCTCACACTGTGACACTGATGTCAAGCTACAAGCTTCTGACACACCCTGCACTTACAGAGACATCTGCAGGCAGGGACACACCCCACAAGTTACATCAATGATCCCCTAGCCACTCATGAACCATTAGTAGGGAGGCTTCACACTGGTAGGAAGAAAAGAAGAAAGGAGAAGTTGTAATAATCTTGTGTCTGGGCAGAGAGGCCTTTTGGTGCCCCCTGCAGGGGATTCTGAAGCCTGGCTCTATTCCAGTCCCCAGTGGTGTTTCTAGGAGGGAGGCAAGTGGCTTGGAGTTTGGCAGGTTAACTTTCAGCCAGAGTTCATGGGCCACTCAGGAAGGCATGCCGGTCTTTGAGCTAATTATGTGAAGCTGAATGCACTTGAAGTAAACATTTGTACAAGGATGTATTTCTCCCAGAGAAGAGAGACCTGTGTAGCAGTTGTATTGATCAGAAGTCAAAGAGGGTGTTCTAGGGATACTGCAAAGCTACTTGGTATGGTTTGTACTTGTTTTTTGAGTTTACTGTCTAAAATTTCATGGCTAGAAATTCATCTAGCAACTGTTTCTCACTTAGTATCAATTGTGGTGAAGCCAGAATGTCTGAAGTGAATTGTTACCTGGAGAGAATGTGATTTGTTCCTATTTCTCTTGTAATTTTGCTCCTAGCCCCTCAAAGTGTCTCTTGAAACATCTATCTTTTCAATGTTATGAAATGTTTAATCATTAGAAAAACACTGTGGTTAGTAATTAGTGAAAGGAATTCAAGCAGAAGAAAACTGGTGACCATAGATGTCAATTTTGCCCACATTAAAACCTCTGGACTGTATGCACTGTTTGAGCAAGATTAATTATAAAACAACTAATGATCTATAGAAGTTCATATCAATAAATGTGACATCTCATATGACACTCTTCATAACAACTTTTTTTTTTCTTAGGTGGGGTGAAGGGCAGGAATTGACTTGAGGGTGAACCATTTTGTCATTCAGAGTAAACATTTTAATAGCCTCCTTACATTAGCAAGTAGGACAGTAGGGGAAAGAACAAAAGGTAGGAGTTCACCTTTGAAGTTTCTCAGGCCTTTGAGATCTTATAATTAGTACAACTAAACTCAGTAGTAAACTAAATTGCTATCAGCCTTATTGAACAGGTGCTCTTTGTCTGGGTAGAACAAACCAGGAGTCCAATCCTATTTCCACTGAAGTGAATAAGCCTGATTTTCTTCTCACACTTGTGTTGAAGTCAGTGAGCTACCCTGATGGTAATGAGAGGATAGGGTGTAATGAGTTTTGTTGATTATTTCAATGGGAGCAAGAGCAGTCCTTAAAATTTAGAATGTACTACGAAAGTATACAAGAGTGCTTGGGTTAACACAAAGGATTGCTATTTTTTCAGAGAGTAGGTTGGTTTTGCTTTTGTTGGGAACAATGCTGGTTGCTTTGAAAGTGGGTAGTTGTGGGCTGAATGCTGCGTAGAAGAGTGTTACTTCCTGTCCCTATTGAATAATAATGGCAAATGACTCTTAAGCCTTTAAAAAAAAATCTAACAACCATTGCAAAAGGTTTTAATTATGTGGGAACTTTAAAGAGTATGTGGTATGCTATTTTGTTAAGATCAAGTAGGAGAAAACTTTGATGATAGTGTTGCTAAACTTCTTCAAGAATGTTTTAAAAATTAGTTTTAAGTATAAGGCAGTGAGCAAATTTACATGCAAATCCTTTGGAAAATACATGCTGACCTCTGAGAGAGTTACAAAATGGTCCAATCCCTACTTAGGGCTCAAGTTAATTTCAAAACTATCTATGAAACAGTGACCAGCATTTTCATAATTCTGTCTTGCCTTTCCCTCTATCTTATGAAAGTTAAAATTTTACAAGACTTTAGTAATATGGGAAACTGTTTATTCTTCAAAAAACTTTAATGATCCTTTGTAAAGCACACAACTTTTATTATATATCTGAAAACATTAGTAGTGGTAACAAATGTTTGCATTTAAAAGCTATTTTGGGGAGAAACCTTAACTAGTTTGGTAAAACAAATTCCCCCAAACTTCCATGCCTCTGTTCTTTCATGGTCTTTGCTGTAGACTTTAGGGGAGATGCTTTTTGGAATTTTGAATTCTTGTGGATCTTAGACGTTCCAGGTTTTTTGTTTGTCTCATGGTGTTGTGTGGCTTTTTTGTTTTTTAAATAAGGGGATATAGTTTCTAAACCTTAGACCTAGATAAACTTATCCCTGGCAAGTTTTTTGTTTTTTTTCTTAAGGCAGTGGTGGGGAGCCATAGTCAAATAGAATACCAGAAATAGCTTAAATTTTTTTTTTCTTAAGGCAGTGGTGGGGAGCCATAGTCACATAGAATACCAGAAATAGCTTAATCTTTAAAATGTGGCATTAGAGCAGTTGCTAATACAGGCAGTCCCCGAGTTACGCGGATCCGACTTACGTCGGATCTGCACTTACGAACGGGGCCCTCTCCCTGGTCTCCAGCAGACCAGGGAGAGGAAGCAAAGCGGCGG